CTCCAGCTCCAGGACCCTCCTGCGCATTCCCACGGCACAATGGGCACCTGATCTGTGCCCAGCCCTGGATGGAAACGTGCCCTGACCCCCAAAGGCCCCCTGGGACCCGCCTCACACCCACGGCAGCACGAAGGAGTGGGAAGGGAGAGCCTGGGTGAGCCCACACACGGATATCTCAGCACAACACCACAGGCAACGACACTGATAACTCCAGTGTTTCACATTCAGAAACATCCTTTCACCAGCTGACACTTTGGTGTGTTTATACCGAGCTGACACGGGGCCAGGGGCACCTGAACACAGCCCAAAGCCCCATAAACACCCCGTGCCTCAGAGCACAGGGCCGTGTCTGCAGGAACTGCTCTGCCCCGGCCACACCGAGTCTGGCAGATCCCTTGGCCTTAACTGTCAGGGATTAACTTTCACCAAATTTGGCACTCAGAAAACCAGCCTTTCTTCTGTGTACACACGTGCCCATGGGGAGGATGGGGATGTGAGTGTAGTGCAGTCTGCTCCCCTCTTCTCCAGCAGACAGATCCTGGTTAGAAAGTCACTGGAGTATTTGGAGCGTGTGCTTTGGTTTTTATTCTGAGCTTCTTGACCCGAGACAATTAACTCCCCAACTGCCAGCACAGTTTCCTACTGTCACCTCCACTCCACAGGCCAAACTTTGGGATGTGCCACCTGGCGTGGCAAACACAGCTTAAATGGAATATTACTGCTAACAAAGCTGGTGCTTTTGGCACCCCAGCTCCTGGGTTGCTCGTGTTTTATGACTCTGACTCTTGGTTTGCTGAGAAATAAAGATGCCATAGTCCTAATCACTCTAAAAACCTTACAGATCCTTCCCAAAAATCACTCCAACGACCTCACAGCTCCTTTACAGAAATCACTCCAATAACCTCACGGATCCTTCACAAAATCACTGCAGTGACCTCACAGATCCTTCCCAAAATGACCAACACACACCCCGTCACCTGGGAAATCTCAGTGTCGTGCTCCAATGCCGTTATATTCCAAGGTTAATGCCAATTCCCTTGCCACTCTCCCTGGAAACATTTCTCAAATATGCCTTAACTCTCCTGCAGAGTGCTTGCATATGGTTTGTATAGCTGCAACACTCCTCTAAGAAACCAACAGCTGTAATTCCATCCAATCCACGCTCCCACCCTGCCAACCATTTTATATTTGGGAATACACACATTTCTTTTACTTCCTCATACAGGGCATCTCTCAAAAGAGATTTTTTTACGTTTAACATTTTTCTTCTTCCAAAGCAGAACAAAACATAGACTTTTCCAGTTGTGCAATAAACACAGACATTACACACCCATTTGCATTTCTTAAGTGAGGTCTTATATTCCCTGTATGGAAACACATACAATATATTTATGATCAGAAACATACAACTTCACTTTAAAAAAAAAGCTTCCCATTAATGTTTTGCTGTATTTAAATGCTTATTCTCACGATCTCTCTTTAAGTTTTTTCTTTAATAGAAATCAAAGATTTTATAAAAAGTTTTCAGTTAAAAGTTTTGTCCACATTGGCATGTTTATGTGAATTTTCTCAGTTCAGTGCATCCACAAGTACTGATGGAATCACATTCCACATGACATTTCTGACCCTGCATTCCCAGCCTATACAAGCTTTCCAACGTGATTGTGCCAGAACGCCGTAGAAACATTTTCCAAGTATTGTGATCCTGGTTACATTCTTGGAAATGGTTACAGTACCTTGTAAAAGTTAAAGTCTCCAAGAGAGCAGAAACCAGAATTCCAGGGTTCAGCTCTAACTTTGTGAACTCACAATGGAGCTATGGTGAGGACTCACACAGCAGTTTGCTACTGCAGAGAGGAGCATTTGATGGGATAGGAGCAGTGAGAACCTCTGCACCCAAGGATACACAGGGAAGCATTTTCTGCTTGTTTCTGCACCTCACGGGAGCTGCACCTGACTCGGTTCTGTCTGGAACCCAAACAGTAACTATAACCACATTATTCTTCTATGAATCCTTCAAGGCACCGCAATCAAATTGAACACTTGGAGCAGCATATTTGTCAAGGAGTGCACACTGTCAGAAAGCAAACTAGAAAAACCACTATCACCAAAATATGGCTTTGCCAAAAATACTGTGATATGTTGTGGTTCTTCAACTGCCAGCACCCCAGACTTTTTGTCAATTTTTCTGTTTTAGTGCCCCACCCACTGTGAACAGCCCCACGGTATAAAAACACCTCAGCTATAATTCACTGGCTAAATGCAATAATAAATGTCTGGCTCTGCGTGCCTCTAACAAAGACCTTAACATGGAGTAATTAAAATAAGCAATCACAGCACAACTCTTCACACTGTGATCTGTCTTAATCTATTTTTAACATCTGCCAAGCATCTGACCCTGTCAGATTGAGCAATTCATGCAGCCTGAGAATCACCTATTTCTACTAAGTGACCAGATTTTTTTCTCAGGAATAGAAGAAATTTTTAGCTACCGAGTACTAGAACATGCAATATATATTTAGAACAAATAAAATGCATTTTTCAGGATACCTGGTATCACTTACACATTCTTCAGAGAAGGAAGCTCGTTTTCATATGATTTTTGCAAGTTTATATTGCTGAGACTCGGTGGAAATAGTGTAATTTTAGAAACAGTGAGCAGAATTCTAAATGCAATGCATTTTAAAAAAAATAAATCTATCAAGATATGGAAAAATTACTATTCTTTAGCAGAAGCAAATAACGAATCCTATTTCCTGCTCAATAACACTACAAATCACTGCAGTAATGTAATGCCTTAAGAATAACGTAACTCGCCCTTATTCCTTTACTCGTCTTTTACGATTCCCAGGAGAAAAAAGCAGCCGAGTAACGTTTGCAGTACAATCCCCCTGAGCCCCCCAAACACACACTCACCTGCAGGACCCTTCCTGGACATTCTAGCAGCAGGCTGGGCCTGGGCTGGGACCTGGTGCTGCAGGACAAAGGACGCTGCGTTGGTGCATGTTGTTGGGAGCTGGGAAGCAGCCGACGGCTTCGGGGGTGTTCTGCTGCTGTGACCTCAGGGCAGGGAGTCTGATCCCTCAACAGGTTGACTTTTAAGAGAGACGATTTCATTACATGCAGCAGATGGCCCCTCCTGAGAAAACCTCCACCAGACAGGGAGTTGGCAGTGAGAAGAGGGCACATCCTACTGCCATAGAAGTCCACAGGAATTTCCTCGTGGCTGAGAGAGAGAGGAAGTGTTGGCCTTAGCTTTTCATACTAAAGCACTGGATTGTTTTTTGGAGAGTGTGCCTAACTGCTCTGCTAGGCACCTCGGGAACTTCTTACTTGCTGGAGGTTAAGCACACAAAAGTTCTGCTGAGCATGAGAAAACCCACAGTGCCTAACAAGCAGGCTGAGGAGATCAAAGGTGGCCAGTGGACTTTTAACAATCACTACACAGAAATTCACCTGTGATTCACATCCCCCAAAGGCAAAAAGGCGAATCCTGAAGTAAGGAAGTATTCCCACTCCTGTTACCCAAGGAGCCAAGTCTCACACAGGAGGAACTTCAAGGAATTGCACAAACTACTCTGAGCTCAAGGGATCTGGAAAAGGCTGAAAAGCAAGTTTTGTGCCAGGATTTTTTTAAAGCATTTTGCAATAATGGCAACTAAAACTGGTTATGAGATACTACCGTGCTAAATACTTCTTGCTCCCAGTGTTATCTAGACCCAGATAGGAAACTGGTGTGTTCAGCAATAAATATAGCACCTCCAATCACCATCATTCAGGAATAGCAACGGGGATATCTGTTTTATGTAACAGTCTAATAGCCAAAATAACCCCCAAAGAAACAAGAGGCAGCAACATTTGTATCATAAAATAGTGTGGGTTGGAAGAGACATTTAAGGGTCCTATATTCCACCCCCTGCCATTGGCAGGGACACCTTCCACTAGATCAGACTGCACCAAGCCCCGTCCAACCTGGTCCTGAACACTTCCAGGGATGGGGCACCTAGCACCTCCCTGAGCAACCTGAATGCTTGATCACCGATTAAAATTGTTAATAAAGTTACTTTCTAAGGCACTTCCAGTCCACTTTGAGCAACTTGCAGTTCCAGAGGTAAGAATTCCCTTCCCCACTCATCATTAGCAATGATGGAGAGCAGCCACGGGAACATCTCTTTGGGAGGCTCTTCCCAAGGCGTCCCTCCTTTCCCACAAGGTGCCTGAGCCTTAAGCTGCACACCTGCCTGTGTGGGCACTGGCAGCAGGGTGGGAGGAAGCTGTGGCACGGAGAAGAATCCATGGCCGTGCCGGCTGCAGGTGGATAAGGCTGTTTCTCCTCAGAGCGCGACCCCTGCCCTCAGCGTTGGGTGCTTTTTGCCCGCTTTAGGGCCCAGCTCCCGCCTCTCCAACCACGTCCGGCCTCCTCAGGGCCAGCTGCGGACGCTGCAGGAGGTCTCGCCCTGAGTCAGACACATAACGTCCCCGTTTCAAAATGGGGGAAACAAAACAAAACCCGCTCGGTTCCCTCACAGTGCCCGCAAGGCCGGGGAGAGGGGGAACTGTCTCCTGCCCCGCCATGGCGGTGTCCCCTCAGGACGGGGCGGCCGCACTACCCTCAGCCGGACCCGCCCCGGCCGCCCCGCTCCACTCAGCCGGTCCCTCCTGCCCCGCCCCGGCCGCCCCGCTCCCCTCAGCGGACCCGCCCGTCCCGGCCCGTCCCGCCCCGCCCCGGCTGTCCCGCTCCCCTCAGCCCCGCTCCCCTCAGTCGGTCCCGCCCGTCCCGTCCCGCCCCGCCCCGGCTGTCCCGCTCCCCTCAGCCCCGCTCCCCTCAGCCGGTCCCGCCCGTCCCGTCCCGCCCCGCTCCGGCTGTCCCGCTCCCCTCAGCCCCGCCCGTCCTGTCCCGCTCCCCTCAGCCCCGCTCCCCTCAGCGGACCCGCCCGTCCTGTCCCGCTCCCCTCAGCCCCGCTCCCCTCAGCGCCCCCCCCCCGGTTGCCCCGCGCTTCCTTCCGGGGCCGCTGTGGCGCTGCCGGCAGCGATGGATCGCGGTGCGGCGGGGCCGCTGCCCCTCGGCCGCTTGGCCGAGCCGCTGCTCCGCAGGCTCAGCGAGCTGCTGGACCGGGCGGCGCCCGGCAAGGGCTGGCGGGAGCTGGCGCAGCGAGCGGGGAGCCGAGGCACGGTGCGGCTGAGGTAGGGGGGCGCGGGGAGCGCTGCCCCGCGGTGTCACCGCGCGGTCCAGGAGGTGGATGTTTGTATTTTCCTGTGAAACACTGTGAAGGTCCATTTGATAAGTGACGGTATCTCGCCCCTAGGTTGGCGTGGCGCTGCGACTTAATGAAAGAAACGTTGATGAATCTCTTTAGTGGGGATACGTAAACTTGCATTCCCTTTCTGTAGCTGTCTTCATGTCCTTATCATCTGAGTTCTTTGAATCTGCTGTGGTTGGAAGTGCGTGAAAACTTCACACTAAAGTTTAACCTAAGAACTTCAGACGCAGTTAACTGCGCTGCAGTGATGTGTGATTGGCTGGGCTGCACTCGCCTGTTTTAAAAACTCCTCTAAAATGAGTCTTCCTGCACTTTGAAGTTAGACACTGAGTTGCTCTTACTGCTTCTGAATTAGGCACATGGAAATGAATGGTGCTGTAGTAGCTTTTCTGCTGATACCTTAAAAAGTGAAAATTAGAAGGTTTCTCAATACACTGGGTTAGACTTGTGAGGTACACGCATCTCTTACCTTGTAGCATACAAGTAACTAATACCAGTTTCTGTCACTGTATAATTTCTGAACTCATGAAACTTGAAGGAAATACTGCAAATATGTCCAAATCAGCAAGGAATTTCCTATCTCTATTTTTTTAAATCTTTTTGTTTGTCTACAGTTGATTGTTAACCCAGCTCCTTTCTGAGCAAAACGTGTTAAGAAGGTGGTCTGTGCCATGTCCTTCTTTTGTTCCTCCGTAGCCCTTTGGATTTGGAGCAGTGTTCCCTCCAAGTGCTGGAACCAGAAGGCAGTCCCAGCTGGAGTCTCCTGAAGCTGCTGGGAGATCGTGGGTGCACTGTGGTGGAGCTGGTGGAGTCCTTGCAGGCCCTGGAGCACACAGAGGCTCTCCAGTGTCTCGGCCATGCAGGTCAGTGCTGGGCCTGTGCTTTCTGCGTTTTACACTGGAAACACTCAAGTAGCTTGTTTTCTGCAGTAGCTAAAAACATCTTTAGTGCTTGAATTCTGATAATTGGTATCCATATGATTATCGAGGTAATTGGCTCATCTGATTCTGAGATTAAAAGTAAGCCAAGTAGATAAACAGCCTTTGTACAGTGTTGTTGTGGACTTGAACTTGGCTGCATGGACATGCAGGGTGGACTTGTATTTGTTCCTAACTTTGCTATGTGTAAATTCTGTTTTGAAGGTATAAAGATTGTTGTACAGCCAGACTCTCAAGCAGTGCTCTCTGGTCAGGTGGTCAAGCTGTGTTGCTGGGCAGCAGGACACCCATTTGTGCACTACCAGTGGTTCAAGCAGGAAAAAGAGGTAATAGCTGATAAACAGTGCAGGTGTTTGCGATAGTGAAAATAATAGATAATGATTTTGGATGATACCTTTTACTTTCTAAGACTCTTCCCCTTATTTACAATGAGAGAAGATTGCTGGATAGTGACCCTAGGAATCTGCTATAACGATGTGGTGATTCCTTATATTCAAACCACTTCATCCCTGGGGACTAATTTTGGAATGGGACAGAAAGGAAGCTGTAAGTTTAGTTGTCTCTCAGCTTAGCAATAAGTTTCAAGTAAGTGAAGGAGTTGAGGCTGGTCTTATGGACATGGAAATAAATATTGTAGTGCTTGATCCTGGTTTAGATTAAACCAATCTAAATTTCAGTGTTTTTGGTTCACCCGCGATTCAGGTTCCCCATGGTGACTCTCCAGAGCTGGTTTTGAATCCAGTGAGTGTAAAGGATTCTGGCTTTTACATCTGTCGAGTGAACAGTGACTGTTGTTTCGTGTTCAGTCGGTGGGCACGCCTGGAGGTCTGTGAGCTCCGGGGCACATCTCATGGTGAGTGGCAGAACCATTGTCTTCTGAAACTCTGTCCTCCCGCTTCCTAGAGGAACTTGGGCCTCTGTAGCTGTGCTTAGGTTGTTGTCTCACCCTTTCTTTTTTCTTCCTTTTTGTTTCTTTTAAGGGAGCTTGGTGGGTTTGCCTCAAAACAAATTGTGCATTTGTGTTCAGCCTCAGCCACAAAACCTGACAGTGGGGGATGCTTTGGTACTAGAATGTGGAGCTGTTGGAAGCCCAATTCCTCATTACCAGTGGTTCAGAAATGGATTTCCCTTGGCAAATGGGAGCAAAAATGTCTACACAGTAAGTTACTGCAGTGGGCCAGCCTTGGGGGCCGATGTGCAACCACCTTGAACTTATCACAGAAAGCCTTCTTGAAGAAAAGAATTTCTCCATAGTCTTGATTAACCTCTGACAGAAGTGCTTGCTCCAAGTGCTTCTTTAGTTTTTACTTTTTCTTGCATGGGGGCTTAAATGCAAGGCTTGAATACCTGATACAGGTGTTGTCTTGGGGTCTGTCGGGATGACTGGGATGATACTTGCCCAGGTAACTTCTGTGGACGTGGAACATCAAGGGACATACTGGTGTCACGTATTCAATGACCACGAGGGTGAAGACAGCAAGAAGGTAGAAGTCATTATAGGTGAGGAGTTTTTCTGTTTGATACATGACAGGTGAGGTTGTTCATTGCAAGCAGAATGAATGAATAGAACATGTTTCAGTGTGTGTGCACGTATTTTCAGGGAACTGAAGAGGAGCAGATCTCTGTAGAGCTTCCAGATCTATCTGGGAATACTAGTATGTACCTCACAGGTTCTTTCCTAACCTGAGGAATATCCTAGTGTAGTACTCCCAGGTTTCAGTGATTAGTGCTGTACAGTGGTCAGTGCAGATTTGTACCTCTGTAAAATGAGCCAGATTGCAGAGCAGCTTGACAGTGACCTTTGTCTCCCACCTCATATGCTAACACTAATAACTGAGAGCACTTGTCTTCCAATTTTCCCCCTCCCTAAAACACAAGGAAGGAAAGCAATGGCAGTGGAATGCACAGAAGGTAAAGTAAACCTTTAGTTGTGAATCAATTTTAAAAAGTCAGTGAGGGGAGGATGGGTTGTCGGGTGGGTTGCTGAAAAGCATGTGTGGGTTAAGATCTTCGGTCCAGTTTAAGGCACTGATGCATGATGCAGTGTTCCTTTTGCATGTGCTTTTCTCTTCTTTGCCTGGATGCCATGATCTAGAGTACAGGAGAAAAAAAAACAGACTGCTTTCTCCTATGCTATTCAAATGAATGTAAAGATCTGGAGAGGTTTTTGGCTGGGCTCGGGAGGCAACATCCTATCCAAGAAAATCTGGAGGTGTTAGGAACCTGGGTAATCTTAGAGAGCTCCAGTGTCAGCACTCTGTCTGCAAGAGGTGTTTCCAGCATCCTCATGAGGATGATTTCTGTTCTCCTCTGCACTGCTGCCATGGGGAGGAAGAAGTGTATTATGACCTTTGCTGTTTGCACCATCCCTTGATGGCTGAGCTCCTCAGAGTCTGCAACACCATCAGGGGATCACGTAGAACAGTGTAAGGCTGCTCACAGCAGGCCTGCTCTGAGACATCCCTGGGGCTTCAGACACGGTGGTTTTCTTTTCCGTGGTTTCCAGTGCTCTCAGAATAAAGAGGTGAAACCTGTGGTAGTTTAGAATATTTGAAAATTGTGTCTGAAGTCTTTCTGAATACATGTGGCTTCCCAAAGTAAGATTTCTTGCTCAGGATGTTGCTTTTTCAGCAGTCTTTCAAGCATATCCTCTTCAAAGGGGTGATTCTGACACCTTGTTCCTTGCTCCTTCAAGCTGCCTGCATGCCTGTGGGATTGAAGTGTAGTGAGTGTCCCTGCCTTGGTTTTTAGCTCTCCTGTACTCTAATGCTGGTCTAGCATGGCTTCATACATTGCTGGAGCTTCTCTTCTCTGTGTGGAATAGACATAAAAGATTACATGTGCAGAAATGCAAAGCCAAAAGTATTTTAGAAAAGTAGCTTGTTTTCTGTGTTCAGCTTTGATTATTAGTGGCATGACACTTACATTTTTATTAATAAAAATGTTGCTTTTGCTTATTGTTTAAATGATGATCTTATTGGTGTGTTTCTTCACAGAAGATTTTAATGATCTTCAAGAATCAGGTCAGTGATAAGTTTTGAAAAACTTTAGTTTTGCATCTCATTTTTATGTTACAAGTCACTGAAGCTTAGCTGGGTTACAATATATACTTTACAGTATTTGCATGTGTCTGTAACTAGGAATTGAATAGGGGCAGGTATCATGTTAAGAGCAGCACAGCTTCCTGGTTCCAAAAGGTTGACTTGAAGCATATAGTGAATTATAGGGGTGCTATTATCTTTGTAAAATCACCCAAGGCTGGTCTTACTGCACTGCACATGCACTTAGACAAAGGGAATTATCTTTGCTTTCTTGTCTGTAGTTTCTCTGGGCTCTCAGTTTTAGTACATTGCTGCTTTCTCAGATGATGTAAGGTGTCTGGCTGTAAACAACACAACGTCAGCAAAACACCTCCAAAGCCACCAAAACAAAAAAGAGCCCTTTTTTTGTGCTAAATTAGTAAGGTGTTAGGCACAGCAGTGTCTCTACACGATAGCTGTGGGGAGCACGCAGTGCATTTTCTGGTGTTGCAGCTCCAGCTGCAGCCACTGACAGTGCTCTTTTCATCTCTTTCAAGCAGACCCGCAAGAACTGTCGAGTGACAGACCTGTTGGTGAGTAGATTTGTAACTGGAACGTGTATTTCCCATCTTGGAAACAGATTTCACTGCTTCTGACACTGCCAGTGCGAGACCTGGGGGGCATGTAGAGAGCTGTGGGCATTTGTACAGTCCCTTACAATGCTTGCCTGCCCTTTCAAGAGTAAACTGTGCTGAGGGCACCAGTATTTTTAGTGCCTCTGAGGAGTGTCTGCAGCTTCTCCTCTGTTTCAGTTTGCTGCTTCAGATTCCTCTGGCTGGGCCTTAGCCAGTGTGTTGCTCCATCACTTTAAACACTTGGATGGCTAGAGGTAGTGGTGTGGGGATGGTGGGATAGAGAGGATTGGTATCCTGTCTGCCAAGGGAATGCTGTCCCTGCAGGCTCAGCTCTCCCTGTGCCCGTGGGGTGGATGCTGTGTTGTTGGGCTGCAGCTCATAAGGAGATGGAGAGCACTGTGAGGAGCAGTTGCTGGGGACTTTGAATCACATTCTTTCATTTGCACTGGAGACTTGACTGTGGGCAGGCACGTTGTCCTGTCAATGCTAAACCAGGTGGAAAGGCTGCTGGCCTCTGTCCAAGCTTCTCCACTCTTTCAGGTTCACCAGTGTGGGGGGGAGTTTAGGTGCTCCCCCTCATGCTGGTAACGTTGGGGTTTTTTTGAGGTAAGACGAGAGTTGAGCTGTATTATTGATGTAGGATGGCTTTTGAAATCACATCAAATATTGTGCCTGGAAATATTGTGCCTGGATACACTTTTTGGAAGACCTTACTTTTAAAGGTACTGACCCCTGGAATATATAAACGTGACGTGTTTTTTTTCTCCCTGTGTCTTGGCAGCCACAGACAAGGTGGCTCTGTTAATAGGAAACATGAGCTACTGGAATCATCCCCAGCTCAAGGCTCCCATGGTAGATGTGTATGAATTGACCAGTTTGCTAAGGCAGCTGGATTTCAAAGTCGTTTCTTTACTGGACCTTACTGAATCTGAGATGCGAAACGCAGTGGATGAATTTTTACTTCTCCTGGACAAAGGAGTATATGGTAAGAACAGTCAAAGTCCCTTCTGAAGTAGGTCAGTGTGGTATGTATCAAGTACACAAACAGCTGGTATTTACCTCTGCCAGCTCTCTACATGTGATGGCCAAACAGCCTTCCTGGTAAATAGGATGTGTGCAGAATGGGAAGAGTAAGTGAAAAGCACCCACCAACATAGCCTTTGACTTGGCTTAAAACGTTTTTGTTTCTTTACTTTTAGAACAGATCAAAGGTTTGAACTCTTTTCTTTAACCACCCCTAAAACTGCAGTGCAAGCTCTGGGGGAGGGCACAGTGGAATTGATGCACAGAGCAAAAGCCTTCGTGTCTTGCATGGAAAAGGTCAGGAATGATCTGGTTGGGAGTGTAAGAAAAGTTCTTCTGTGGGCTTTGAGTTTTCAGCTGACTGCCACTATTTTGTCATTTTTCTAAAGGCTAAGGTTGTATAAACTCCTTGAGAAATGACTTAGAACAGAGAACAAAAAGTTTTGCCAGTGTCCCTATTTAAATTGCAGAATTCCTGTAGTAAAGCCCATTCACGAAAACATGATTTGATCCTTTTTTGGAACACAAGGTCAGATTATTTGCTATCATGACTTTTTTACAGATGTGTTACCTGATGCTCTGCCTGAGCAGCACTGGCTGCTCTGACATTTGGGCATTTATGTCTGAGCCAAAAGCTGCCTGACACGGAGCCTCAGCCTGGCAGGAGTATCGAGGCTTTCTGAGAGCAGTCTGCTTTTTTACCCCCTGGGAAATAGATGGGCTGGTACATTTGGGACTCTTGCACCTTCTCAATTTTTTTCTGCAATTGTTGTCATGAATGTAGAAAATAAAGCACAGAAAGGCTTTAATGGGTTTCTCAGCAGCACCACATGAAAGCTCTTACACAACATATTTTTGCAGTTGTGCATTTCCAGCCACTTGGTATAAAAGGTAAGCGGAGCAGTTTTTCAGTAGTGTTTGGCAATAACTACTTCAATTGAAATGGTCACTTTATCCTTTCTGCATAGTGGCTATTAACGGCTTAAAGCCAATAAAAGGTGCTGTCAGTGCACAAATAGGTAATGATTTATAGCATTTCTAGTGGGCATAGGTTCAAATAGAAGAGGCACAGTGGCTGCCGCTGTCTGGTCCCTGTTACATGTACTCCTGATCCCTGCTAAGTTGTGTAATTCTGGCCAACTGCCAGGAAAGTGGCATTTCAGATACTGGTCCTTAAGGGCAGGAGTGGTAAACAAAGTGATGATGATTGCCTCCTCTGATGTCTTAGTTTGTGCTGTTCTAAATGTGGGGTGCAATTAACATTGTATTCCACACGGGGTAAAAGCACAGACCCGGATGTTTGAAAGGCTAAAAATATTTAGGCTGCTTTCTTTTTAAAAGAGAGAGAAAGAGGCAGATACCACTTAAATGCTGACGTCTCTGAGGAACTTGAGCCTACTTAAAATTGTTGTGCCTTAGTCTCTGTTGAGCCCCTCTGAACATGTTTACTCCACTTACCCCGGGTATGCACGGATGTATTTCTGATCTTGAGCTCAGCACAGTCAGTGCTGCAGGTACTGGTGCCACAGCACAGGCATCTGCCAAGGATAGCAAAGGGGTGTAGTCAGTGCCATGACTTACAGAGTGTACACTCAGATAGATTTCCAGGCAGCCTAAATTGTCACATTTCTGTTAACTTTGTTCAGCTGCACACTATATACTATATATATTGCAGAGCTGGCCCGTAGACTGCTCTGTATAGATAAATAAAAAGTCATTTTAAAAGATGGAATTTGCATCATTAAGGAAAACCAGCACTGGGAACAGGCAACAGGAAAATCAAATTTAATCATACAAGCTTCTCTTAACTGCATTTTTTGGCAGTGGAGGTTATTAATTCTAAGAACATCTAATCTTACTGCAAATTGATATGTCTAATACTGGACATCTTTATTCATATAAGTAAAATCTAAGCCCTGGCTTGCAGTTTCCTTTTTCAGGGTTCAGAAAAGCTGTCTTTAATTCCGTGACATGTTTGGGGTTTTTTTTCCTACAAAAATATTTCATGTTTTATTGAAGATTTTAAATCTTAAAATGTTGTAAACTGTTGTGTACTGGCAAGCGAGGGAGATGATGGCAGGATAATCGTTTCTGGCTAGGAAAGCATGCAAAGAATTTGTTTGTTTAGTAGACCCAGAAGTAACCCAGTCTGTAACTAAGAGATGTAGCTGCAATCAACTGAACATGAGCTCCTGGTAGTTTGGTAATGGGGATGTGCTCTGGAGTCCTACCAAACTATTCAGCAGGGTTTTTTTCTGTCTACAAAATCTGCAGAGTTACTGCTGCTCAGAGCTTTGTAATTGCACGCGTGGAGAAGATGTTTTACAGTTGGCACATTTCCTTGTTCCCATCTGTGAGTTACACATCATACATAAGAGACTATTTCTGTTAGAGGTCATAACTACTTAAAGCATTTAAGAGCATTTAACTCGGTGTGTTCGATGCAAATATCTGATTGATTCTATTGCATGTGTGACATTTCCCTTTTTTTAAATTCATTGTGTCTGTGTGTTGTGGAGTCGATGTTAATGTGGCTCGGCCCTGCCTCCCCTCCCTTCCTGTGTTAACAAAAGCATATTGATATTACAAACCCAGCTTGGAGTGGCTCGAACGGTCTCGGTCCCGCCATGCACGAGGGGTTTGACACGCTAAGGTGTGCAGCAGTGCTCCCCTGTGCTCCCCGTGCTCTCAGTCACACCTCTTTTGAACCCAGGTCTGTTGTACTACGCTGGTCACGGCTACGAAAACTACGGGAACAGTTTCCTGGTTCCCGTGGATGCTCCCAGTCCCTACCGGTCAGCAAACTGCCTGTGCGTGCAGGACATCCTGCGGCGCATGCAGCAGAAGGAGACGGGGCTCAACGTGTTCCTGCTGGACATGTGTCGGAAAAGGTATCGCCTCTGTTTGGCAGGGGAGAGCTGACAGCGGGGGCTCGGGGATGGCTTTGCCTCACAGGAGAGGGAATAATGACTCCGGTGTGGGGAACCGACTGTGAGGTTGGCTTTCTGTCCCCGTGGGTGGGTACCTGCCTCCTGATTCCAACGACAGTTATTTCTTCTTTTTTGTTTTTGCTTAAAAGTTATAGACCAATAGTCTAATTTGATAAAAGTGAAATTGGGCATCTTAAAGGAGAAACATGACCCTTTCCCCTTGCACCATTATCCGTCTTCATTACAGGAGGAAGGAGAATCCCCGTGATCAAAGGCATGTTAATTTGGCAGAAGGGCTCAAGTGAAGTGCTTATTTTAGAACTCTTCAGAGCCATGGATTTTGCTTTTATGCTGGGGATGTTGTATCTTTATTTAGAGCTTAAAAACCGACTGATTTATGGGGTTTTTCTAAACAAAGTACTGTGTTCTTCCCATGTTGAGAAACTACGATGCCCAATTAAACTTGCACTTGAAATCAGCTCTTCAGTCAGCACTTCTGGCAATTGGTCTCTCAGGAATGTTTCATAACAGAAAAATGCTGGTGCCTTAGTGTCTGTGGAGCCTCTAAACTTCAGTGCTAATGCAATGCCTGTGACCCAATTCAGGTTCACAATCTGCTATCCAAATAGAAAATCCATCCACGTAAGCCTTGTGCTAACTATGCAGACACCGTGGGGGGGGGAAAGTTAGAAAAAAATCATAGCTTTTGGTAGAACCTAAAGTGGGCAGTTATCAGAAATGGGTTTTGCAGAGATTGTAGACCAACTCTGCTAGTTACTATAACATGATGGTGCTGAGTTTTGTCTTTTAGCAGTCAGGATTCATTCCAGAATTGTAAGAGTGAAACAAATTCCTGGTTCTGAGCTCTGCTTTTCTGGTATTTTGAATGTGTTACCTTTATTGACTTTCTTGTGTTTCCACTTGTTGCAGAAATGAATACGATGACACAGTTCTTATCCTGGATGCTCTGAAGGTTACAGCCAATATTGTTTTTGGATATGCAACGTAAGGAAATTTTTCTTCTTGTGTGCCACAGAAGTGAGCACTGAAATTGTACAGCTGCCCTTTTCCAGAACAGTCCTGTGGTGTTAAAGGACCAGTAACCTCGGGCAGTTTGCAAGTTAAGTGCAAAAGCTGCTGCATAGAAGTAGTCAAGAGCTTTCATAAAATCTGCAATGATAAATTGAAGCTCCTCATATAAGGAGTCTGATAAACAGCTCTGGTGTGTGATGCCATTGGAAGGGAAACCTTCCGTGAGCTGCTTGCAAGGGAACACAAAGAGCAGGCTGGCCTTGGACACAACCTGGTTTTCAAATTGTAGGAAATTCCTTCCCCCCTTCCCCTTCACAACTTTACTCCTTACCATGCAGATGTTTCAGTGTTTTTTCCTTGTCTGATGCTGGTGATCTCACAGGTGCCAAGGAGCAGAAGCTTTTGAAATTCAGCAGTCGGGGTTGGCCAATGGCATCTTCATGAAGTTCCTGAAGGAGCGTTTGTTAGAAGACAAGAAGATCACTGTTCTGCTTGATGAGGTTGCAGAAGGTGAACTCCAGCTTACTGCACTAACAGTCTCCTCAGCCTGCATTGCTGAAAACAACTTTGCTTACATGTTCTTCCTCCCATGGTGAATGTGTTACACTACTTAAAGCTCTTTCTTGTTGCATTTTGATCAAATAGCAGCTTTTATCAAGAAGCAGCTGCTACTGGGCAGCACATTAACAACGTTCTTGGTGTTATAAAGGGATCTGAGCTTCTTTAACAGTGTGCAGTTTTATACTTTAGTGAACCTTATTTGTTCTGAGTATCTTTCCTCATGGAGCTTTGAATTGTCCATTGACAAAAATGCTCTTCTGTCCTGTGGTTCCAACTGCTTGTGGTAGTCCAGTCATTTGCAAGTTCATTTAAACGATTAATGGAGTCCTACCTGCCCCATAGTGCTATAGTGATGATAATGATTTGTTCTCTATTGAGAACAGTAAGTTCTCTTAAGTGCATTAAATAGGGCAATGCACTGCTTTCAAATGCCTGGTTCAGTAATTGTATTTTAGATTTGATGGGAAAAGTGCTAAAGTGAAAAATGTCGAGGGAACACGTGCTGCTCCTGTGCAAACATCTGCCCCAGGTACAGAAGAACAGGCCAGCCATTTTGGCCAAGATCAGCCAGTGTGAGACTGGCTCTGTAGGGGATGTCTCTCACCAGCTGCAGGTCACAGAGCTTTGCCCAGTCTGTCTTTTGTTCAAGAATGGAGAGAAGGATTGACCTGTTGGGCAGTGTGACAGGCACTGCTGTCAGTATTCCCAGGTCTTGAGTGTCAGGGACCACACAGGTGAATTGAAGACACTTGTAAATGTGCCAGAGGAGTGCTCCCATTGCCAGTGTTCCATGTAAATAGCCCCCATGGAAAAGGCCCTGCTGGCACTGTGCTTCCTGCTGGCTGCCTTTGCCACCAGAGTGCAGTGCTGGCTTGTGCTCAGCTTGGTGGCCCCCAGGCCCCCGAGGTGCTTCCCTGCAGAGCTCTGTCCCAGGGAGCCAGGCCTCTTCCTGCACCCATGCAGGGCTTCATTCCTGCCTGGGTGCAGGACTCGCTGTTCCCTGCTGTTGGACTCCATGAGATTCCTCTCTGCCCAGTTCCACAGCCTGTCCAGGGCCCTTGGAAGGGCAGCACAGTCCTGTGGGATATCAGTCACTCCTCTCAGTTTTTAACCACTCTTTGCACTCTGTCCTGTCATATGGATCATTAGTGATGCTGTTAAATAAACAATATTGGGCCCTTTATCAGTGCTTAAAATACTTCCCTTGCCCCTAGTCCCTTAGAAATCTCTGACTGGAATTATTCATATTCTTGAAATCAGTCACTCTAATTAGGCCCTTCCCCACTCAGAGCTGTGATACTGCTTGAGCTGGCTTTGAGGAATAGGGGAGGGTGTTGGCCAGGCCCCATGTGAACCCTCAGGGCCCTGCAGCAGCAGGAATGCTACCTTGGCCTTCAGGGAAGGAAGAGGTGAGCAAGGCATACTTGTGAAACTGCAGCTTTTGATGGATGTGCTGGCACTGGCATCACCACAGCAACCACACAGCACTGCAGCGAGGGACTTAATTCAGTTGGAATGGCAGCAGCATTGATTTTGAAAGAACCTGTATGCACCTTACTTTTAGATATGGGCAAGTGTCCCCTGACCAAGGGCAGGCAAGCCCTGGAGATCCGCAGCAGCTTGTCGGAGAGGAGGGCACTGACCGACCCCGTGCAGCAAAGCACAGCCTCGGCAGAGTCGCTGGCACGGAACCTGCAGTGGGCCAAGGCTCATGGTATGGGACACTCTGCTCTTACATGATCCTGCTGCCATGGTGGAGAAGTGAGAGCATGTAGTATTGAATGGAAATGGAGAAGTGAGAGCATGTAGTATTGAATGGAAATGGAAGACATTCAGATTTATATCTGAATTTTCATTAGTTTGTTCAGTAGGAAATCTTGGTGTTTGGGTTTACCCTTACATGAGATAGGAATGAACAAGGTGACATGGAGAATTCATCCAGAGTAAGTATATTTAAAACCACTGTAGGGGAGACTTACAGGATGTCTGCCCCCTGGGACAGTAGTTCATGTGTCTAACAATGACACTTCTTCTAAGACATCATTAATCTCATTCTGAAGTCATCGCCTAAAATAGGCAGGCAAACTGGATGGTAAGTGTGCATGAGATGAAAAGGAGTTTTCAGTGTATACAACTAAGTAAAATAAGGATGAAATGAGTTGGAGGCTTTCTAGGTTTCTTTTAACAAGGGCAGTGCAGTTTAAGATCTTTCACCTTATTTACCTAAAGGTGTTGGGGTACATCTTCAGATTGCTTTGTTAGATTGGGCAGAGGGTCGGGGTGGCATTTCTGAGACAGCTCTTCCACAGATGCAGGTATTTCTTTGTGAAATTACACCCTTAATTCTTGTTTGTTAAATGATTGAAAAAACACAGAAACTATTTTAGAAAAATACAAAATGCATGTGCTGAGTTATATTTAGACTGTAATGATGCGTTCTTCGCAGAGCTCCCAGAAAGCAGGTACCTTGATTTTAAATGTGGTGTTCAGATCCAGCTGGGGTTTGCAGCTGAGTTCTCCAATGTCCTGATAATCTACACGAGGATAGTGCAGAGCCCCCCCGAAATGGCCGCTTGCAGAGCCCACGTCACAGACTTCGCTCTCGTAAGTGCTTCCTCTTGGTGTCATCTCGCTCCACTGAAGTTGAAAATTTCCTGTTCCATCCATGTCAAACCGCATCTTTTGTAATAAAATGGGTCCAAACTGTTGAAACTTCTAAAACTGAAATAAGTGATGGTTTATGATCTACAAATTCTGTACCTTCAGTTAAGTTCTCGTTTCTTTCTTGCAACAGGACCTGGATGTGGATCCTAAATTGGCTAATAAAGGAACTCCTGAGGAAACTGGAAGCTATTTAGTATCAAAGGACCTACCCAAACACTGCCTCTACACCAGGCTGAGTTCACTGCAAAAACTAAAGGTTAATATATATTATTCCTCACGTTAGTTCAGATAACTGACACTAATGTTGCTTTGCAGTTCTGTTGAAGCATCTGTGTATTGTCTGCACAGTAAGTTCTTTGGAGGGAACCAATGGCTAATAGCACAGTTTAGTGACTTTAATTCTGTAGCTGAAAAGTAAAAGCCAGGGAACTGATGCATATGCAATCCTGAAACCGGTATGCAAGGCCCTCTGTATTTTCTTGGCCAAGGTGGTTGTTTTTGTGAAGATGATCTGTAGCACACTCTGAGGGTGTTCTTCTGCACTGCAGTTCAGAAAGAACATGACCTGAAGCAGAGCTGCCTCTTACAGAGTCATTAGTAGGAGATGAAAGTGTTGTGTATCATCAGCCAGTGCTCCTGGGCATGCAGTTTTTGGAAGGTTCTCCCTTCAGCAGACTGGGGCACTGTGAAGTGTCTCTCTGTATCTTTGTGTCATGAGCACCTGCCATCTCTTCTTCAGTGCTTTTGGCAGCTGAGGTAACATAAGTGCTTCTAGAATTACAGACTGTCCTGTGAGCAAGTACTGACCAAAAGAGGTCCTCAGTAAACAAGTCTTGCCCAGTGTGTGTCCTCAGCTCCTAAAAAGGTTGCTCTTCTCCAGGAGGCCAGGCCTCTCAAAGGGTTTCCTACAGTGTTTATTTGGACTGGAAGTATAACTTGTTCTCTCCCCCACCTTTTCCTCTTTTACAGGAACACTTGATCTTCACTGTTTGCTTGCACTATGAGTATTCAGGAATAGAAGATACAATGGATGAAAGAAAGGAAGTTAATGTTGGGAAGCCCCTTATTGCTAAATTAGGCCTTCATCATGGATTCAAAACCAAAAACTGTCCCCATACCTGTTGCATGACTGGTTATCCTTTTCATAATTCAATGGAATCGAGTCTTAGAGAGGCAGCTGAATACTACATCTCCAGTCACTGCCAACCAAATTCCTGTCCAGGTGTTTACTATCCAAACTGTACTTGCTCAGCCAGCATCACACAATCAGAGGCATGTTCCTTCAATGGGACTTCCAGGATATTGGCTTCAAGACATGAAGTATGGAATTACTCACCCACTGTGGAAAAGAGTAATGTACCAGTAGAGACCACTGATGATACCGTTGAACTGCAATTCCTTCTCTCTGACAGCCTCAGCTTCTCTGAACAGCAGTAGCTGGGATGTGTTTGCAACAGACCTCCACAGAGCTCTGCAGGATGCCTCCTGAATAAAAATAACCTGTTATCCTGAGAGTCCTGCAACTGCCTCCTTGGCTCCAGAAGAGCATCTGCCCTGCAGGACTCTCTACTAGGAGATTTCAGGGCTGCTGTTGCTGTCTCTGTAGTTACAGCTTTGGTTCATGCATCAGCTACTTCTCCTCATTCTGTCAGCTAATTAGGAGCTTTGGCAGCTCACAGACATTAAGTTTCTGGGCCATGTTCACCTTGACATAAATTCCTGACTGCTGCAGGGCTGATGGTTTCAGTATTACTCCTGCCTTGCACAGAATTTTAATTCGGGCGGAGTAAGATCCGCTCGCTTTTAGAGTGCAGCATTATGAGCACCAAGGTGTTTGCAGTGAACTGGAGACAGTTTAAAGTATCAGGTGTGGGGGAGGACAGGTTGGCAATTTGAGGGAGTTGGGTTTATTTTTTAAAAAAAAAGATTGATCACCCTCTTAGTTCAATAATTGCAGCAGTCTAGGAATGCAGTGAGGACCCCTCCGTGTTGTGGAAATTAGGCAGTTATTAATTTCCAAGGTACCATTGCAGCAATTTAGTCATTCCAGGTTTATTTTAAGAGCTAATGAGAAAAAATGTGTTCTCCCATCCTTGTTGGCATGCAGTGAGCACGAGCCCAGGATCCCTGTGGGTGTGTGTTACCACAGCAACCAGCCTCCACACCCACATCTGCAGCGGATGCGGGGGGAAGCGGCCAGGACCTTCCCTGTGCCCTTCCCACAGCCCCTGCTGGCACCTGCCTGCCTGTTCCCAAGTCACTGCAACGGGGATGGAAAGCCTTCAACCTGGTATGCAAATGACTTCACTACACATAAGATCAAGCAGCTCTCAGATGCTTCCCGGGCTCTCTGATGCCTTAACATGATGGTTATGATTTATTTCACCTCTCTGTACATGAGCTAGTTCTGCTTCCTGAGCCAGCTTCCTGCCATCCTGTCAGAGGGATGCTGAGCATGCATAGCAGGACAGCACCAGTCTCTCCTGTGGGTTACCAGCAGGCAGCCTGGAGTCCTAGAGCAGCCTCAGTCACAACGTGCTCAGATTAGTGCCCTCTAAATGGGCAGTTTGTCGGTGCTGTAGGTGTTTAAAGTGGTCCCAGGATTCTTCTCTGTTCACATCCTGTCTGTGCCTGTCAGCTCTTTTCCTCTCTTTTCCCTTCTGCTGAGTGCCAGTAGTATCCGTGGTACCTGCCCCTCAGGACCAGCTGAGGATTGGTCCAGCAGTTTTTGAGAACTGCTTTGAAATATTGGGAATGTACCAAATCTGATATCTTTTTTTGTCTGTAGGAAGCATAACAATCTTTTAAGAAAGTACAGTTGCTATAAAACATTGGTTTGCAGATTCTCAAAGCTTTGTAGGTTTTGCTGCACGCCTGCCTTAGGGATATGCAGAATCTGCTGCACTCTGGTTGCAGCTGCAAAGAGAACACTTTGTTTGAAACAACCCTTAGATTATCAGTTCTGCTTTTAGTGGAAATAGCAGGTTCATTTTAATCAGAAAATAGCTGTGTTTGATGCCAAGCCATTTACCTGTGCTGGCAGGTAGAGAACTGCAGCTCTTTGCACACTCACTGTATTCCAGCACGTAAATCAGAGGTGGGACTCGTTACCTTTGCAGAGAGTTGTATACATTGAAAATTCCTTTTCATCTCATGCACACTCACCATCCAGTTTGTTTGCCTATTTTAGTGATGACTACAGAATGAGATTAATGATGTCTCAGAAGTGTCATTGTTAGACACACAAACTCCTGGGACACTGTCCCAGGGGGCAGACATCCCGTCAGTCTCCCCTACCGTGGTTTTAAATATACTTACATTGGATGAATTCTCCATGTCACCTTGTTCATTCCTATCTCATGTAAGGGTAAACCCAAACACAAAGATTTCCTACTGAACAGACTAATGAAAGCAGCTTCTCAGATTGGCAGATGGTGGCTCTGTAAGAAAACATGTTTTCTTGCCTTGCCCCTCAGTTCATTCCCAGACTGAGCAAAGAGAGCTCGGTAGTAGCATCTGTTGATGGAATAGTTCCTGTTAAACTCCATCTGCCTGCCAGCTCTAAGATGTTCCAACCATGGTGTGTATATAAGGTACAAAAGGTATAATTAGAATTCTGATGTATCAAAAACTGCTGTGGGTTTAATTATGTACGATGGACATTTTTGGCCAGCTCTAAGTAATAAAAAATACCATGAGTGGCGAGATGATGCTCAGCAGTTGCCTTTGCAGCCTGTGTTATTCTTTGCATGCAGCACAAGGTGGAGATTTTTGCCTGGTCTGAAGCTGAGCCAGTTCTTGCACGGTGGTGTGTGGGAGCACAACTTTGGGAGTGAAGGGACGAAGAGAAGAGATCCCCCAGGGCTGGAAGGGTGGATGAGCTGCCCCAGGCAGTGTGAGCAGCACAGCCTCACCAGGGGAACGGGTGCAGGCAGCCCCAGCACTGCCCCCAGTGACAGCAGCAGGTGCCCTGCCAGTGGCTAATGGTGGCCACCACGCTCAGTTTATGGGGTAACAAGGTTGTTGAGTATTTTTAACACTTTTGTAGGGAGTAGAGCGCTCACTGGGCAAGGAGCAGAGCAGCTTCCCTCTCTCTCACCATGCTAACATGGGCAAAGTCATGTCAGGCAGAGGGTGCAGAAGTGGGTAATGCCAAAGCCCAGAACTGATTTAGTTAACTGGTAAGGACTGGAGATTCACCTTGAGTTAGAGGACTGCCTGCAGCAGACCTTGGGATCAGGTTGGCAGTGGAGGGAAGCAGCCAACAAGCTGTTGTTTAAGCTGCAGCTGATAGTGAGCTCAGTTGTTATTAAATCCTGTTTGGTTGGAAGAATCACTGTAGAGGCAGCAGTATTTGCAATTTGAAAGAAATGGCAATGGTGGTGATAGCCCCAGTCTGTCCCAGGGAAGGACCAAAAACCAGGTCATGCCAGCCACCAGCCTCAGCTGGGGGCATCTCTTGCTGATCATTGTGCTTTTAGGGGTTTGTTCAGTAGAGACTTTTATGGCAGCAGAGAGGGAAGTTTGCAACACGGGAAGTAGTGTTGTTACACAAACTAAATGGAATTTGTATAATCCTGACTCATCTTCGGTAGGTGGGGATGAATCAGATGTCCTTCCTCCAGCAGGAGATGCCAAGGACCAGCATGGAAAGTCTGAGTGCTTGAAAGACTCCCAGGCCACAAACCAGCAAGGTGCCTTGATTTTAACTTTGCTTCCATTGTAGGAAGATCATCACAGGCAGCTTGGAATCAGCAGCCACTGCCAGGCCAGTTGCTGCTGCCACCCTTGTCCATGAGGACAGTGTTTGCTGAGGTAAAGAAAGATAGCAGAAAAATGGCTCTTGCTGGAAACAATGCTGCATTTAATTGAGCTGCTTCTGGCTGCAGAGGTTTCTTAATTGGCTGCCAGCAGCTTTCAGTGTGTTCCTCTGACTTGCTCAGAGTCCAGCCCTGGATGTTTTGGATTCCCCTTTATCCTTATTTTAGTAGGTGATTATTCCATTTTATGGGTGGGCTGTGGGAAGGCAGAAGTCCGAGCCCAGCTGCTGCTGGTACAGAGTGCCTGGGTGTCTGTTCCTGGAGGGGCAGCAGCCCTCGTGTCACATGGCAGCTCCTCCAGTGCCCAGCTCCCCAGGAACCCTGTTCAGGTTCAGCACTCTCCTTTTGCTGTGTAAATGCAGGTGAACACACAGCGAGAGGAGCTGTTGATGGCACCATCTGCAAAAGCCTAATGGCTCATTCATTAAGCAGTGGGAGCCGGCACTGCCACAGTCTAATCAGATACTGTATGATGAATAATTCAGAAATAATCCTCGTATACTTGAATAAATATCAGAAGGAAGGAAAAAGGCCCATACATATGGCACACTAAGAGAACAAAACAGGCATTCTTCCCTGTCCCAGGCTGCTGAGCTGTGGTACGGGATGTTAATCGTGCAGGTGGCTAATGCCTGACTGAGCTGACTGAGGGCTGCTGGCCCAGCACTCGAAGGTGCCGGTGAGCGGAAAAGCCCGCGGTGCTCATGGGAAAATCCATCAGCATTGCAGTTGGAAATATGCCTGTGCTTGGGTTGTGTAACTGGCCGGTGACAGGGGTGGGGCACTGAGCTCGGGAGGAGATGGCTGGGAAAACCCAGGTCTTGGCTGGCCTTGGGCTGTGCTGCTCTGTGCTGCTGGGCACATCAGGGGGGTGCTGTCCCCCAGCAGCTCCTGCCCACACCCCCAGAGCTGCTGGTCTGGCTGGAGTACTGGTTATCTCCTGTGAGATCCCTTTCTTTTAATAAATCTCATCCTTCCAAAAGCAATCCTAGAGGTTTTAGTCCAAAATATAATAGCAGGTTTATTTTAATAACCAGGAAAGGAAATTATTTTTTTTCCAAGAAAATACATAGAGATTAGCCATAGGAGCATCTGAAAACGGGAAGTTTAGTTGTAAGCTGTTTTTTAATATTGAATGTTTAAATATGAAGTACCATTGCATTCTAAACAGTGATAGAAAGAAAAACATAAGTATTCTAAAACAACAAATGCAAGCCTCTGCTCTTGTAGATCATATATTACCAGAACATTTAAGGTGAAAACCTTAAAAAGCAACTGCAGGAACAGGCAGTATTAAGTATTTGCCAGAAGCTGTAAAGTTATTAGTCTGAATTCAGGGTTTGAAATACAGAATGTGTATGTTACACTTCTTGCTTAAGCTAAGCGTGTTTCACTAGCCAGGAAGGAACTGTTTTGTTTTGTTATTGTCCTTCCTAGAAGTGGGGAAGGACAAAAAGGGCAGCCTTTATTCTGACATAAAAACCCCTAAATGTAAATCAACTTTGGTTTTTATTGTGTCAGTCCACCTGCAAAGTCTTCTTTGGCCCCAGCACATCTTTAATGCGCAGAAGCTCTGTTTGTAGCTCTGTGTGATGCATTTAAAACTGATCTCTGTACAGAAAGCTGACGATGAATACACCATGGTTTAGAGTTCTGAATTTCAAGAGCCTTAAAATCCTTAGAAGTTAAATAATTAAGAAGTTATTATTGCACACAAGTTCAGCATTCGCTACAGCATCAAAGGGAAAGTGTTCTGAGTTGGCAGCACTCCTTGCTGACTGCTGAGAAGTAACAGCGGGCTACACTGGAGACATTTCTTCAGGAAAAAGAAAAGGGGGGGTTCAAGATGTACCTGCTTCCTGGAGAATGAAATACGTGGTGTGGGACTTGGGAGTGCACGGCTCCGTCAGGGCAGGTGAGCGGGAGGTCCCATCTCAGAGCTGCAGTCCAGGGGGAAGGACTCAGTGGTGATGGTTTCACTGGTCAGGACAGGGACTGCACACGAGGACAGTGGTGTCAGGGGCTTTGATCCCGGTCACTGCAAAGCCAAGGGAGAAAACGGGATAACCTAAACAAACAGAATTTCTTCCACCACAGCTTCCCAGGATTATGTGGCACAGTGCCTGATGGAGTGAACAGGACCTCGGGTCTAAGACCTAGAGCTAAGATGTAAGGTCAACCTGCTAAAAACCCCCCAAAGCCTCCCAGCAGAGAAGTGATGCTTGTAGGAACACTCACTATGCAATTGCCTGTTACTTTGTGTGCTTGAATTAAAAAGCCACTGGAGAAGAGCCATCAGCCTGGCACTGCTTGTAAATCATACTTAAAATTCTCTTCATTTTATTTTAAAAATCAAATACTAAGGGCGACGGACGTTTTCTGCCATGTCAAGGACACCTTGCTGGGAGGAAAACAAATAAATCTGTGTGAAAGGCAGCATGCACAAGGACCTTTGTGCCATGTATAAACTGTGAAATCGATTAGCAGTTCAGATATTAATACCAGAGTGGTAGTAACAGCTGCCATCTTCTTTATGCTGTTATGCAAGCCAACCACAGAAATGCAGTGTAAGTAAACAGAATTTGGTTTTCACTTTAATCAAATCAGTTTCCTGGTTAACTGGGAAGAAATAGGGTGCTATAAATATTGTGGCTTAATTCTGCAAGTCCCTTGCAGGATGAGCTTGTGCAAGCTGAATTTCATGGCCCTTCTTGAATGTTAAAACTAGTGCAGAACACAAATCCACTTGGGTTTTTTATATAAATCCCCAAATCGATGTATTAAATTCACATTCTATAAACTTGTCAGACTCACTGACTGCCACAGTTTGCAACAGAGCAGTTTGCTGCTGCTTTGGTTCATCGGACAAGTTAGAATTTGTACGTGGGGAAGTCCCTTGGGCTGGGGTGGGGCCGCCAGGGCATGGGCCAGCCCGATGGATAATTCCCTGCCCGACTGATACCTGCAGGCACAGCTTCAGGGGCAGCCTGCCAGCAGGAGCTGTGCTCGTGCAGAAGGCCTTTGGGACTCGGTGCCTCGCCAAGAGGCTCGTAAGAGATGTTCATAAACCGGCATTATTCCAACCAGAATACGTACTGTGCTATATGCTCAGAGTATAAATTTGAGACGGGTGTTCTGTGTTTAAAGCCATTAATGTGATCCAATAAAGCGATTCGCATGCCAAGGTTTACATTCTGGAAATGGTGCTGCACAGCAGTAAGAGAGAGAAGAAAGGATCTCGTCCTGCCGTTCCGAGCAATGGCGATGCCGCCAGGATGCTCGGCAGCCAACAAAGGCGGCTGCTCGGAGGCAGCGCACGGGCCGCAGGCGCTCCGCAGGCAGCACCCGGTGACGGGGGGTGTGAGGCAGGGCAGCGCTGCTCCGGGACACGGTTCCCGGCCGCGCCCCGGGCCCGCAGGGTGACCCCGGCCGGGCACAGCGGCCGCAGCGCCGGCGGAGGTGGCAGCGTGTGGCTCCTCCCGTCCTTTGTTGGCCTGGAAGCGGAGCAGCGGCCGGGTGTCTTCCCCCGCTGCCCTTCGAGGCCTGAGGCGCTCTGGCCCCGGGAGCGCCCGGAGGGCTCCGGGGAGCGCCTCCCGGGGCTGCCCCGGCCCCGGGGAGATCGGCCCTGCCCGCCGGCACCGCTCGGTCCCGCTCCGGGCGGGACCCCCGACCTGCCCGGGCTGCGGGAGGCCGCGACCCGGCCCCGGCCCCGCGGCGCCCGGCGGCCCCGCAGCCTCCCCGCCCCCGGCACTCTCCAGGGAGCCGTTCCACACGGAATCACACGGGAGCGTCTCCCCATCTGTGCCGCCGAGCACCCCCACCCCCACCGCCCAGCCCCGCAGCCTCCTGCCATTATG